AACATCCATGTCACAAAGAGAGTTAGAAGGAAGTCCCTCTGTGCTATAGGGCATTTTTAAAATTAGCTGAATGGATGGGAAAATGATGGGAAAAGTACCAAAGCATTTTTCTTGCATAGATTATAAGTTGGAAACATCTGTATCTTTCAATTAAGCCTTATAAAAATTGATTTTCCTAACATTTATTTCGGAATTTTATCCTGCAATGTCCCCAGGTTAAGTCAGTGTCCTCATGTTGGGCCTTTTTTACAATTTTTTTGTTGAAAAATAAATGTCCCCATGTCAAATCATCCCCATGTTGAGGCGTCCGCATGTGGGGGTCTCACTGTATTTCAAAATTTGAATGAATGGCTCACTTGACAAAGATTTTATTTTATAACAAACTTTCCCCACCAAAAATGCAAAAATTAGAGTTTAAATTCAAGTTTAGGTTTATGAGAGAATAAAGGAAAATTTCTACACTTATTTGGTTGTAAACACAGGTGTATTCTATCTACAACAAAAATCAAGAGGCCAGAAAAAATTTCCTGTAGAGAGAATTTCTTTGTAGAGAACTCCTATAATGTGGGGTGAGATCCTGATGGGACAACAGGATTGTTATACAGAAAAAAAATTGTGGTAACTACAAGATTGTTGAATGAAATGTTCACCTGTAATTGATGATTTCATAAATTTAAGAAGTCAAGATTATGATGGGATAATATCAAGATTATTTCAATTATTCAAATACAATGTTTTAAACTCGCAATTGTGTCCTGCTAAACTGAGCAGGTAATCTAATGATTGAAGCAGGAGTTTTGTATGTGTAAATTTGCACCAAAGAAGCTTTGAAATAAAAAAATGAACTCATGAATAAAGTCAAAGTTGAGATATGCAGTATTTTTTACCATTTTCTTTTTGGGAGCAAAATAAAGCCCTTCCAAGGCTGAACTCTGATTATCTGGTAAATATTCTTCAAACTTAGTGGGAGTTTTTGTAATGATGAGATATGTATAGTTTTTTTATTGTGGCAATTTTCAAGTAGCATTTCATTATCTGATGCTTTCCTGGCAAGAGTACCAGGTCATCAGTCTGAATAATCTAGGTTCTGCTGTAAATGAAATGAATTGACATGGTGATTGTCATAAAGAATAACATACAGGTGGACTTTCTACAACAATACTTTCTGAATAACAAATTTTTCCAAACCCATGGGGTTCTCTTTCCATATTGCAGTGGTTTTCTACAACAAAATTTTCTACATTTTTTTCTGAACCCTTGCATTTTATTGAGAGAGAGTTAGTCCACCTTCTCATGCAAAGAGGCATCAATATTGTGAATATCACTCTAATACAACCTTAAAGCTTTCATCAATATCCTACTGTACATTAATGTCAGTACATGATTTTACTGTACTGCTGTATATGTGTATAATGTCTAGGTGTTATTGGGCAGAGTTGAAGGTAACTCCAGAAAGACTTTGTTGTAAGCCTGAATTCATTTCAACAATATTTGTTGCAGTGAGTGCAGGTATTCATTTTAAAAAATTATCCAAGGTTAGGACTGTCCCAACCAAATGTTCCATATGTTTTTTTTTTTGGCCAATTTTAAAATTGTGAATCAATTCAAAATGTGCAATGGCAAAGGTGGGATGTGAATGCCGCGAACATCACAGGGGTGAAGGCAATAATTGTTTACTGATGTACGACATCTATTCTGCATAGTCACGAATTCAATGGGTGTTCAATTTCCCCACAGTTTCGACTTACGCCACAATCCAAAGCTGCATCTGTATCGAACGATTCCTGGAGTTCAGTTTCACTGTGATTACTTTTCAGGAAAAGTGCCATGGGATGGAGCTTTAATGAGTAATCAGACGAAGATGCCGGAAACTGTGTCAGGCTGTGTTGCGTTCTCTTAGTCGACGAAAATGTTAAAAATCATTCTTCGTTGAAATTTGGAGTCAAATTCAACGGTTTTCTTGAACGTACGCACAGAAAATTTTTTACCATCGAGTGTATTGATCCGGCGGAGACGTGAGACCTCTGGGGAGGTGTATTTCTCCGATCTACCATGTCTATCTTTCGAGCTGCGTTGAGAAATCTTCGATTCTCACCAACTGTTAAAACGAGCTCGCCTTTGAAGAGCAGCAAGCGCTTCGGACATGCACACCACGAGGAAGTTGATCCGTAATTCTTCGACATTCTTTCAGGCTTGCCCATCTCGCTAAAAAAGTTACTGTATTATTTTCAGATGGAAGTATCGGGAACCTCCACCACCAGCAGATACGAAATGGCTAATGGCAGCTGAAGGTATTTCCGGATTGATGTGGTGGTGGGTCTTCTGGAACTTGTGGCACGATTGGCGGCATCTTCTTGTGAGTACCTTGTACAGTACTGTGTTCAGATCTCTCGTGCCTTTGATTTGTTCGAATGAACCTTTAGAAAATACTTGAACATGTCCCATACATTTGCTGAAATCAATTCAACGAAATCAGGGCTCGTTTTATAATATTTTTGACGATAGCTTGTACTCGCACGTAGAATGATCCCATCTGTCCGACAAAATCCGTAAAAGAAATAATGGTCTTGTGGATAAGACGAAATATTTATTTCCATTCGTACTCACATGTTTATGCAGCTGTAAAATATTACAAGGAATATCGTTATGGTGCTGTGCTAAATGTCGTCTTCATTTTTAGGAGCAATACCCGATACCTGATGGCAGTCAGAATAATTCGAGAGTAGGAGGAAGGCACTTTCCAGAAGAATGTATAGATGTCGCGAAAGAAACAGTACGAACTGTTTATTGTAGATGGAGCTAGTAGTCTGGGTCCCCCCAACTAGGATAGCTCCGAGTTGTTCGAATGAAACTTTAGAAAATACTTGAACATGTCGCATTCATTTGCTGAAATCAATTCAACGAAACCAGGGCTCGATTTATAATATTTTTGACGATAGCTTGTACTCTACTCGCACGTAGAATGATCCCATCTGTCCGACACAATCCGTAAAAGAAATAATGGTCTTGTGGATAAGACATTTATAAATAAAGGTAAGCATGAGTGTACAAATACGTCGACATTTTATAATGTTCCTTATAGCAATACCACGACACGATTTACAGCAGAAGTAAAAATCCTCGTTATGGGCTATGGACTACCGTCAGATTGGACAAATGAGGAATTAGGTATACCCTCGGACGATGCGGATGATCCAACTTTCATCGCTAAGGAGACGAACATCGGCTACATGAATAGAGTTACCTGGTGATCGGATGAAGAAAATTGCTCGGATTGGCAGTGTCCTATCTAGTTCTGAGTTCCAAATTGTATCATGTTCTGTGCAATGAAACCTTGCTCTAGTGTTATTAATTCACTGATTCAAATTAAAAAGCTTGGTTACCCCGCTGAACGTGTTCAATTTTAAGGAGGCCAAAAATGCGAAATTACCTTCGAAAGAAATGCGGTCACGCTTCACCACGCCGCTCTAGCAACTTGGCTTGATGACGGAGCCTTTACGATCTGGAATACTTAAGAAGTTCACAAGTCCTACGAAATGGACGCACTCATGTGTTTACTAAAACTGAAGTAAGTATTAATTAGATTCAAGAAATACACCAAAGTCAATGCAGTAAAATCCAGCTGTTTGACAAGAGCTCATGACGCATTTATCATCATGGAAAGCATATTCCCAGTGAACTTGATGCACTTCCATTGATTCTTCGAAAAATCGAGATACGGCACTCATCGTATATCATGTCTCGCAGATGTCGACCACAATATGAACTGGATTTTGCTGCAATGTGTCACAAACTCAGTGGAAAGAGTACTGATACTTCCATCAGGGAAATCATACGCGATTCTCAGCAATTGCTTGCATCGAGGCCCGTTGAGGAGCGAACAAATAAAAGAACGAAGCTTCTTGAGAGCTTCAGGCTTAAAACCTCAACTCCGCTTAAAAGCCGTAGCAGGAAGCAACCACTTGTTAATCAAACTCTCGACTTGGAATCTGTGATCAAGGATATCTCAGTATGTGCTGCTAAATATTCTGAAGACTTCTTCAAACCCTCAGTTCCATTGAGTGTTGAGAGAAGGACAACATCTTCGGAAGAAGCGAAAGAAAAGCCAGCTGTGATTGCTCCAATTCCATGTCCTGCTGCTAAGAGCGCTCCTGAAATTGTTTCATTCGAGGGAGTTCTGTACCATTTTAATGACCCAATCGTCATTTGGATTAATAAACTTCCAGACGTGTCCGCGGAACGTGGAAACTTTGTAAAACGAGCGAAGTCCATTCACAGCGTTCAAAATGGAGCAAGAATTTCAAAAACAGAAGATGCTCTTGTTTTTCCGATGGATGAGGTCATTAAGGAAGATATTTCCAATGCGAAGATGGTTTCTGTGTTTGAAAGCTGTGATTATTCCGGGGAGAAACCCGCTGGTTTTTCAGAATTGAACGCTCCGTCTTGCGTTGTTCTTGGTGAAAAAGTTTCAAGTGATACCATTCCCGCATTTGTGTATAGTTTTAATGATCCGATCACAGTGCGGTATCAGTTTTGAATAAATTTTGCGTTTTTTGCTGGCTTTTTGAAGAAGAAAACCATGTTTTTCAAGCGATTAAATCTACAAAGAATCTTTCAGACACGAAGTTTTTCTCGAAGAAATGGTGGTGTTACATGTGAAGCGTGGCCCGAACAGTGTTTTCTTGTTCGAAACAACCGTCGATGCGTCTGTGGATGAAACGATACCTGAAATTTCTAAAATCTACAATAACGTCCTGAAAGTGAAGAGGATTTCAGTTGGTGAGTCAGATTCTTGAAAATGCGTTAATTTATTGAAGCGTTGAATTTATTTTTAAATCCGGTTTCCTAGAGGTGGACGAGTTATGTCGTCATGGTCCTAGTTTACCGCCGAACATGGTTGGCTTATTGGAAGAACAACTTGAGGAGCTGAAGCTCTGTGACAATGCTTGTGATCCTCCGAAAGGAACAATGCAACGGAAGGATCCTTTGCTGAAGCGGAATGGGAGAGCACCTGTGGATTCGGATGCTGAGATGATCCTCAAAACAAAAACAGAAGCTTTGAACATGCTTTCTCCTGTAGGTAATATTTTTCTATGCAGTCCTTGTTTCGATCCGGATGTTCGGAAACATTTCACTCGATTTGAATAATCTAAGATTTGTCGAATCGAGATAGCATCGATCAACGTAGCGATTGTTGCAATTTTTTTTTCTTGACGATTTACGATTTGCTCCTATTCTTGGCTCGAGATTTGTGGTTAGGAAACGCGTTTTGGTTTAGATCGGTTTCTAAGCAGGAAAAAATTGTCGTTTTTGGCTGAGGGTTAATTTTTCGTTGAATTCTTTTCCGTTTTGCGTGTTTACTAAATTTTACTGTCCATGGATTCGGAGAAATTTTGTAAAATATTGCAAAGCGGAAAGTGAACCCTCAAATGGCTTAGCAATATAGGTGGACTCTCTAGAAAGATCTTGTCTGTAACGATTTTTCTATGTACAACGATTTTTTTTACCCCATAGGGTTATTATCCATCTTAAAGGGGTTCTATACAACGAAATTTTCTCTACAACGAATATGCTTTTGATCCCCTGAATTTCAACGTAAAAAGAGAGTCCACCTGTCTCTTACAGGCATCTTTCTTCAAAATGATTTTATAAACTGCTTAGGTTTATTGTGATTATCACTTCTCTTCATGAAACATCACTTCATAGTGTTGATTGTGAAATATTTTGTAGGAACAAGTTGAGCACAACGTGTGTCTGACGCTGCGAAAGACGGAGATAGCCCTTGAAATCATTTCTGGCGCCTTGACAGTGGTTTACCCTGCGGGACTCCCAGAATATGATCCCATTAGAGAAGAGCTCGAAAATCGCCAAGATCTTCGGGGTTCTAGCGATGAGCAAGACATCCTTGAACCCGACACGGCAGAGCTTTGGTTTGCCGGGAAGCAGCTCCAACGTGGTCAAGCCAAGAAACTCTCTGATTATGTGGGCAAAATTGAACGGTCGAAGGCGGTGGTGAAGCTTCAGAGACCCGGATTTGGTCCCCCGGGGATGGAAAGCGGAATGAGTGATGATGAGAAAAAGCAACTGATGTTACATGCCTACCGGCGCCAAGAGGAGATGAAGGTAGGGTTATTTCTGCATTTACTCTTTTCCGAGCTGCAAATGTTCTGCTAAGTCACAACAAAAGCCAAATGTAACGTACCATCGATTCTGAAATTACCTCAACTTTTTAGTGCCTCAGAAAAGAAAGTTCCGTATTCACGCAAATATTGTATAAGCACCTTTTTTCCCGATTTTAGAAGCTCGAAAACTGGGGGTCGCTTACCTTCGAACATTTTTTCGCAATTCGCATAAGTTTGAGTCTATATCAGGAATATTCCTGTCTGCGGCCCACAAAATGATCAAGCGTTTCTTTTCTTCAGTTGTCCTGGAATTGAAGTTGAATATAAGTGAGAACCGTTGATCAGTGTGAGAAACTCAATGTTTTGGGAATTCCCGAGTTTCCTGCAAAATAACAAACTTCTTCAGGAAATTGACGATGGCCGATGCTGTTCAAAACTGGAATTCCTTAAAGTTGGAATCGCATCAGGAAGGTTCTCGATATCCCGAACTTTTTACTTAAAAGAAATTAATATTTCAAACCTCGTAGATTCGTTATTAACGAAATTTTACCTGTATAAATTGAAGAAACTCCGCGTAAGGAAAATTTATTGAATTGATTTATTTATTTTTTTACGCTTTCTGCTCTAGTCAATTCTTTTCATGTAAAATATTTAACATCAAATCACCCTTTTAACTCATTCTAGGTGGTCGAATTATGTTCAATGCTTTGATGAAGCTAAGTATACAGTACAGTATCGGGTGCGAATTTTTTGAACTCCCCGCGACGAAGTATTTTTACGCGAATGTAGATTACTGTACATCAGTATGCAGGTCGCATTCCGATTCAGTCGTTTTCAAAGGAAAAGAATATGATGAAACTCATGCTCGGATTTCTCGAAAACGTCCCGTAATGTAATTTTGAAGTCTAAGCCTTCTATTTCATTTTTAAAATATGTTGCCTAGATTTCAGTGAATTCGTCGCGTCATTGATTTAAAAAAAAAAACCCTTATTCCTGGATTGAGTGCACAAATTTTAAATGACTTGCGCATTGCTTTGGTGTTGATAATATGTGGCATGTGTAAATAAAATCTGAGATGCCTTATTCGGAGGCTATTACAGATATATTTTTTTCTTTTAGAGCTTGGAAGAGTGCGAAGTGGTGCGGCGAGATCGTTGAACCGAACTACTGCCTCGGAAATGCTAGACCTTATGAATTCTTCAAGTGTTCAGGATGCTTTACCTGCGTGAGTACACAAATGATTTTGACTTCATTCATGTAATTAGATTCAAGAAATACATCAAAGTCAATGCAATAAAATCCAGCTGTTTGACAAGAGCTCATGACGCATTTATCATCATGGAAAGCGTATTCCGAGTGAACTTGATGCACTTCCATTGATTCTTCGAAAAATCGAGATACGGCGCTCATCGTATATCTTGTCTCGCAGATGTCGACCACAATATGAACTGGATTTTGCTGCAATGTGTCACAAACTCAGTGGAAAGAGTACGGATACTTCCATCAGGGAAATCATACGCGATTCGCAGCAATTGCTTGCATCGAGGCCCGTTGAGGAGCGAAAAAATAAAAGAACGAAGCTTCTTGAGAGCTTCAGGCATAAAATCTCAACTCCGTTTAAAAGCCATAGCAGGAAGCAACCACTTGTTAATCAAACTCTCGACTTGGAATCTGTGATCAAGGATATCGCAGTATGTGCTACTAAATATTCTGAAGACTTCTTGAAACCCTCATTTCCATTGAGTGTTGAGAGAAGGACTACATCATCGGAAGAAGCGAAAGAAAAGCCAGCTTTGATTGCTCCAATTCCATGTCCGGCTGCTGAGAGCGCTCCTGAAATTTTTTCATTCGAGGGAGTTCTGTACCATTTCGATGACCCAATCGTCATTTGGATTAATAAACTTCCAGACGTGTCCGCGGAACATGGAAAGTTTGAAAAACGAGCGGAGTCCATTCACAGCGTTCAAAATGGAGCAAGAATTTCAGAAACAGAAGATGCTCTTGTTTTTCCGATGGATACGGTCATTAAGGAAGATATTTCCAATGCGAAGACGGTTTCTGTGTTTGAAAGCTGTGATAATTCCGGGGAGAAACCCGCTGGTTTTTCAGAATTGAACGCTCCGTCTTGCGTTGTTTTTGGTGGAAAAGTTTCAAGTGATACCATTCCCGCATTTGTGTATAGTTTCAATGATCCGATCACAGTGCGGTATCAGTTTTGAGTACATTTTGCGTTTTTTGCTGGCTTTTTGAAGAAGAAAACCATGTTTTTCAAGCGATTATATCTACAAAGAATCTTTCAGACGCGAAGTTTTTCTCGAAGAAATGGTGGTGTTACATGTGAAGCGTGGTCCGAACAGTGTTTTCTTGTTCGAAACAACCGTCGTTGCGTCTGTGGATGAAACCATACCTGAAATTGCTAAAATCTACAATAACGTCCTGAAAGTGAAGCGGATTTCAGTTGGTGAGTCAGATTCTTAAATGCGTTAATTCATTGAAGCGTTGAATTTATTTTTAAATCCGGTTTCCTAGAGGTGGACGAGTTATGTCGTCATGGTCCTAGTTTACCGCCGAACATGGTTGGCTTATTGGAAGAACAACTTGAGGAGCTGAAGCTCTGTGACAATGCTTGTGATCCTCCGAAAGGAACAATGCAACGGAAGGATCCTTTGCTGAAGCGGAATGGGAGAGCACCTGTGGATTCGGATGCTGAGATGATCCTCAAAACGAAAACAGAAGCTTTGAACATGCTTTCTCCTGTAGGTAATATTTTTCTATGCAGTCCTTGTTTCGATCCGGATGTTCGGAAACATTTCACTCGATTTGAATAATCTAAGATTTGTCGAACCGAGATAGCATCGATCAACGTAGCGATTGTTGCAATTTTTTCTTCTTGACGATTTACGTTTTGCTCCTATTCTTGGCTCGAGATTTGTGGTTAGGAAACACGTTTTGGTTTAGATCGGTTTCTAAACAGGAAAAAATTGTCGTTTTTGGCTGAGGGTTAATTTTTTGTTGAATTCTTTTCCGTTTTGCGCGTGTACTGAATTTTACTATGCCGACGGATTCGGAGAAATTTTGTAAAATATTGTAAAGTGGAGTGTGAACTTTCAAATGGCTTAGCAATATAGGTGGACTCTCTCTAGAAAGATCTTGTCTGCAACGATTTTTGTATGTTCAACGATTTTTTTTATCCCATAGGGTTCTTATCCATCGTAAAGGCAACAAAATTTTTTCTACAACGAATTTGCTTTTGATCCCCTGAATTTCAACGTAAAAAGAGAGTCCACCTGTCTCTTCCGGGCATCTTTCTTCGAAATGATTTTATAAACTGCTTAAAGGTTGATTCTGATTATCACTTCTCGTCGTGGGGAACCTCACTTCATAGCGTTGATTGTGAAATATTTTGTAGGAACAAGTTGAGCACAACGTGTGTCTGACGCTGCGAAAGACGGAGATAGCCCTTGAAATCATTTCTGGTGCCTTGACAGTGGTTTACCCTGCGGGACTCCCAGAATATGATCCCATTAGAGAAGAGCTCGAAAATCGCCAAGATCTTCGGGGTTCTAGCGATGAGCAAGACATCCTTGAACCCGACACGGCAGAGCTTTGGTTTGCCGGGAAGCAGCTCCAACGTGGTCAAGCCAAGAAACTCTCTGATTATGTGGGCAAAATTGAACGGTCGAAGGCAGTGGTGAAGCTTCAGAGACCCGGATTTGGTCCCCCGGGGATGGAAAGCGGACTGAGTGATGATGAGAAAAAGCAACTGATGTTACATGCCTACCGGCGCCAAGAGGAGATGAAGGTAGGGTTATTGCTGCATTCACTCTATCCAATACGGAAATATTGTACTGTATAAGCATCTTTTATTTACGATTTTAGAAGCTAGAAAATTGGGGGTGCTTACCTTCGCACATCTGTTCGCAATTCGCATAAGTTTGAGTCTAAATCAGGAATCTTCCTGTCTGCGGCCCGCAGAATGATCAAGCGTTTCTTTCCTTCAGTTGTCCTGGAATTGAAGTTGAAAATAAGTGAGAATCGTTGATCAGTGTGAGAAACTCAATGTTTTGGGAATTCCCGAGTTTCCTGCAAAATAACATAACTTCTTCAGGAAATTGACTATGCCCGATGCTGTTCAAAACTGGAATTCCTTAAAGTTGGAATCGCTTCAGGAAGGTTCCCGATATCCCGAAATTTTTAGTTGAAAGAAATTAGTATTTTAAACCTCGTAGATTTGTTATAACGACATTTTACCTGTATAAATTGAAGGAACTCCGCGTAAGGAAAATTTATTGAATCGATTTATTTATTTTTTTACGCTTTCTGCTCTAGTCAATTCTTTTCATGTAAAATATTGAACATCAAATCACCCTTTTAACTCATTCTAGGTGGTCAAAATATGTTCAATGCTTTGATGAAGCTAAGTATAAAGTATCGATAATTCGAATGGGTGCGAATTTTTCGAACTCCCCGCCACGAAGTATTTTTACGCGAATTTAGACTACTGTGCATCAGTATGCAGGTCGCATTCCGATTCATTCGTTTCCAAAGGAAAGGAATATGATGAAACTCTTATGCTCGGATTTCTCGAAAACATCCCGTTATGTAATTTTGAAGTCTAAGCCTTCTATTTCATTTTTAAAATATGTTGCCTAGAATTCAATGAATTCATCGCGTCATTGATGAAAAAAAAACACCCTTATTATTGGATTGGGTGCACAAATTTTAAATGACTTGCGCATTGCTTTGGTGTTGATAATATGTGGCATGTGTAAATAAAATCTGAGATGCCTTATTCGGAGGCTATTACAGATATATTTTTTTCTTTTAGAGCTTGGAAGCCAGCGAAGAATTGAGGCATCTCGGCTCCAAATGGGCTGACCCGCAGTCGTTGAAGCGGGATCTCCACGGCGTGACGGACGTGAAATTCCGCCCACTTTAGGCAAATTAGACGCCGTGAACGACTCCGTCCCTCAATTGCATGTTTTGAAAACTGTCGCGTGTTTAGATTGCCTGGTCTGTTTGCCGTGAGTATTTGACCTCGTTCCAGAAAAGGTCGTCTCCGGTCGAGTGAATGTTTTAAAGGAAGTGCGCCTTCATTAGTCGCGAGCCGTTCCCGTAATGTGTTCAACGTGGTTATTGATTTCCATAATACATTGGCACAACCGCTTATGCGTCTATTATTGTACATTTCCTCTTTTCCATCGATTGCGTGCAAACTCTGAAGAAGTCTTTTCCTGTTTTAGGTTCTGTTATTGGTCCCAGTGTGAGGATGTCGAAACACGACAAAATGATAGATGGTGACTGGGTGTGCCCGAATGAAGAGTGAGCGATATTTGCGTTATTGGTGATTTCTTTGACTTGAATTTTTGGCTTTTTCGCAGTTGCCAGAATTTGAATTTTGCTCGTCGGACTCAGTGCAATCGTTGTGGCATCGGTGAGTATGCTTTCGTCCTTGAAAACTACACTATTTCATCAATTCGACCACGTTCTTGTCTGCGGAATTTTTTCCTTTTAAAATAAAACACGTGCATGAGAACCGTGCCTAAAATTTTGAAGTACTGTCTACTGCGTGGAATGTACTATTTTATTCCGAATCTTTGCTTAAGCGGAGCCTGCATTTTGTCTGATTATCAAGGAAAAGCATGTTCGAGTCGTAGACAAATTGAAAAATTGATGCAGTGCGCCTTGGTTGATGGCCTTGATCTGTTCCATTGCTCATGAGAAAGAATATTTCCGTATTTGCACAAGTACCTGATGCCCTTGAGTAAAGCACGCACCCCATTTTTAGGGACAGAAAAACTAAAATATTTCAAAAATACGCAATGGGCACCAGAAGTCATGGCATGAATTTTATTAGTTTTCAGCTATGATTTTAAAAAGTTCCTGTCGAAAATTTTCCATCATATCCCTGCACCTGAACTATTATCAATAAAAAAATTGTATCCATACTTATGACGTGAACCCCTTTTTTCTTAAGGATTTTAGATTGAAAAAATTTGCGCTTAGTACTCGATTGAGTGCGATAATTGAGTAAATCTAGTCATTGTTCACCCCCCCCCCTTTTTCTTTTCTTGGTAAGAAAATTCTGACACCATGCTGACGTTTGAAGAAGAAGAAAAAAAAATGTTCTCAGCATCTTCAAGCTACTTTTCACAGCAGATTCCGCGTTCGAAAATTTTACGTCATCTTGACAGTTCCATGACAAGGGGTATCGGGGCATGAATTTCTCACGTATGACGCAGTTTTCCTTGAAAAAAACGATTGTCATTGCCTCGAACGTTTCCTGTTCTCTGGATGATGTCAGGGATTTTTTTTATAGTTTTTATTTGAAGCTGCATCTAACCCCAGCCAGATTTTGAGGAAATGTTCTTCGTATTTTCTCGGATAAATTGCGAACGAATATTCGTTCTACTGAAGATCTAAAATAGTGGCGAGAAAGAAAAAACAGTGTTAAAATTACGGCGGAGTGCAATAGTGAAAACTTATCGTTTCATTTGAAGAACTTCCTTCTTTTAATATAGTATTTGGCATTATACAGAACGGTGACCTTTTATGACTTCTTGTGGGTGATCGAAGTGCTTTCGGGAATTTTCTGTGGGTTTCCAGAGGTCCACACTTACTTGATGATGGATTTATTTCCTATTTTTAATCATCAGATAAGCCCTTCTCGCGTCAGAGCGGTCATAAAGGAGGCATAAAAATCGGAAAGGCAGCTGCGGAAAAGAGTCGAGGATTGTTTTCAGCCGACGACTGGCAATGTCCCAAGTACGCCTGAGTGATCCTCAATTCCCACCCCAGTCTGCCATCCCAATTTGAATGCAGTAAATATCTGTGTCTGGTAATTCAGGTGTGGGAATGTGAACTGGGCCCGTCGATCAACGTGCAACGTTTGCAATGCCCCGAGAACTGGTGAAGAAGAACGCACCGGCTTGGGCGGTGGTTACAATGAACGTGAAGATGTCGAGTACAAAGAGCGCGAAGACTCTGATGGAGAATATGATGAGGTAAAAGACGAAATTTCGATGTGATTGTAGTGTAATTGAATCCATAATTGATACTGATATTTCTGAGAAAATATTATACAGGTGGACTCCTCTCTACAACGAAATTCAAGGGACCAGAAACAATTAATTGTTGTGAACCACTGTAATATGTGGAGAGAACCCTTTGATACATAAAAAATCTTTCTACTGAGTTTGTTGCAGAGAGAGAGTCAACCTATATCTTTTACCACATGCATCAAAATGTTGACTTTAAGTACTTTGAGATGGTTGGAATAGGTTTACTTATCTCCAACATTTTTTAAAATATGGAAATGCTAGCTTTTTTTTCGTCATGTATACTTTTGAAAATCGTAATCAACATACTTCAGTAGTTTTTCATACTGGTGGACCCTCTCTCTATAACGATTTTCTCTGTACAGTGAAACGAATTTTTTGTGGTCCCATAGGGTTCTTTTCCCATGTTATAGGGGTTCTCTACAACGAATTTATTTCTGGTCCTTTTAATTTCGTTATAGAGAGATCTTTAATGCTGAAAATTTAAACTTCTCTTACGAATTATGAAGTACATTCCAGTTTTCTGTGTTTTTTTTTTCTGGAGACTTCGCAAACGCCGAAGCCATGCAGTTTTAGAATTTTGAATCAGTTGCTAAAATACTATACGATTCCCGAAGGAATATATTTTCTTCTAGTTTAAAAGATTTTGCGGGGGAAAATACTTGAAGTCGTTCGTTAAAGGGAGAATTATTCGACACAATATTTTTTGTCGAAGTAGATCGGATTCCTGATTATGAATTGAATTCTAGTTCGGAATTTTCGCTCGCGTAGATGTTCTGACGAAGTCTTTATTTGACAAAACTTCAATTTTCCAGTTTGGTCGCAGAAAGAAAAAGTTCCGCGGAAATGAATCGGACTCGTCCACTCCGTCCGCTTCTAAAACAAAGCCAAGTAAAGATCAGAAAGAGGCCTCTGAGAATGAGGAGGAAGATGACGATGAAGAAGAAGATGGGGATTTGTCCAAGTATGATTTATGGGGATCCGATGCGGAGGAAGATACCAAGTGAGTTGTTTGATTTTTTTTTAACCACAAACGAGGAATTTGCGGTCATTTTTTCCTGTGACGTAAATGATTGTGAAAGTGATGCTCGCGATTTTTTCCTTTTTTTTTGAATAATTAAGAGGGGGCTGGGAAAGAAAGAAGTGTAAGTTATGTTCGAGAGTCGATTTCTGATTTTTTCCCATGTGAATCGAGTTTGTATAATGTTTACGGCAGGAAACGTGATGCCATTGAGTACGTACTTGCCTCAAACTGCTTCATTAATTACGTAACGCTGAGCGTTTCAGGTTTCAACGCAGCGTTTTGTTTTACTTCTTAAATGCCTCGTTTTGTCATCTTGATATTTTTTTTTTCAGGAAGGCTGACACCGAAGAAAAAACGACAACGAACGACAAACCCGAAGCGGCGAAGAACAAGCGAAGTCGTAGCAGGTCTCGCTCGTCCAGCAGCGAGCGCCGGTCCAGGTATTGGGGGGTGGTAACTTAAAAGAGGAATGGTCGTTCCAGTTTAAAAAATTTATTCCCGATATTTATTTTCCTGTGTGAAACGAAAGCTTTGGAATTGATGTAAAGCGTGTTTTCGTCTATTTGAATGCAAATTATAGGGACCGTCGCGGCGGGAAAGACTCTAGGAGACGTTCGCGGTCCAGGACTCGTTCCAGATCTCGGTTCGTAAATTCAATATGAACTCTGATCGTATTTACGCGAATGTGAGACGCTTTCGAATTCCACGAGCACATCAAGTTTTACTCACTTGAAATTGAAAATTATTCCGAGAAACTCTTGAGTACAGAAGTGTGCCGATTTTTGAATCTCAGCCTCTTGATTTACGTGATGAAATTTGTTGTGAAACGCCGTAAATGAATGTTGTTCCATATTTTCAATCACTGTTATCAGCTTTGGAAGCAATATTGGCTGACGTGTATAATTCTGAAAAATTTAAAGATGCCTCCTCGTACCGTATTTTCACATTACTTTGAATCAACAGTTTTCTATTCTGTGAATCCCCGGATTAAAAAAGACCCATACGAAGTAAATGTCGCATTATGACATTTTTTAAGGATAAAAAAGTTACTCGCATGTCAACGTTTTGCGTAAAAAAAATCTAATTGTTGCAAATATTAAAGTGAAGTAATTAAACGAACATTTTTGGAATTTTTCAAACATCAGGACAAAAAGGAGCTAGTTTTGCTAATTCTTGTCTATAAAAATGTTGAAATTCCAAAAGTTGAGAGCAAAAATTTGTCAGGATTACCTCTATTTCATGCTTATCAATTTTTTTAATGTTTTAAAAATCGATTGATCACAAGATTTTAATGATCCTGAAAACTGATTTGTGTGCGTCAAAATATTTTTAAATGTCTCCATTTGCGTGAATACGATACCCATGTGTCTTTTCTTCAAAGATAATTTCGTACTTATTTTTCTTTCCTTTTTTTTAGTTCACGAGATCGGAATGGTGCCCGTTGATGATGGATGCTGTTGGCCGGGTATTCATCTGCATATCTCCCGTCTTGCTCTTGGGTTTCCCTTCTTCTTTTGTTTTTTGTCGATGATTCAAATAGATTGTGTAAATGGTGAAGAATTCGTGACTTTTGGTGAGCTCATTAAAACCGTTGGAGAATCATCTTAAGCGCTGTTAGGTCATCGAGTGGATAATGTCTTCACGTTGTTCATTCGATGTCGTTGAAACGCTCGGCTACGTATCTCTTACCGTTCGTATGAGTGAAAACTTTTAAATGAGTCGCAGTTGAAAGTTTTATGTTGCCGCTTTCAAATGGGTATTGTTTTGTTTTCTTTTGTAGGTGAAGTTGTGCAATTTTTGTATTTATAATGAACAGCTCAATATCGAGCTTATTCTGGTCGGAATGGGTCTGGCTACCTCCCGGTGTAACATGGAAAATGCTGATTCCATCTGCTGAGCAACCCTTCGCAGACTTCAAACACCTTTATTACCCAATTCTCGGTGCTGCTGTGATCATGTTCCTGCGATTTATCTTTGAAAGGTTCGTATTGACGAGGAGGAAAACTGTGGATTCAACATTATTTGTTTGCAAAATTCAGAAACCGTCGTCGCTACAATTTGCTTTTACAGACTGAAGGGGAAATGAAGAATTATGGGAAGATAAAATGTGACATCTTCTGCTCTGTGAACTGAGTTGTAAATAAGTTGGGAGGATGCTGAACTTGGAAGCAATGGTTCATTTGCCCAATTACTTACTTCCTTTTTCAAAGCATCTAGTTGAATTTTGTTCTCTCTTTCTTGGGCACCTAACATGATAGCGTGAGGGTCTTCAAAAAATTACATTTGAAGATGTTTGAGGGGGAAACATTTTAGTCAAGGTGGTCTTCACGCAAGTACATTCAGCACCTTTTTTAATGGATTGGGACAAAAAAAAAGAAGGTGCATGTCATGGTTGGTACAAATCTTAACGTGACTTTTTCTTTGAATTTTATCATTTCTCCCCACTTCCAAAAATGTCCAGTTCATTTTTTCACGTATCTATCGTATGAAAAAAAAATATTGCTGTTTAATGTGATTTTCAAGGGGCCTTTAATTTTAATATTCACCCGACATAGTTTTTCAAATGGGAATTGCGGTAATTGAAAACTGAGGTGCCGGGAATACATTTTTTCGAAGTTTTTTTTTAGCAAAAATAATAGTGAAAATGGTAAATTTTTCTGAATTGACAGAATAAGGAGAGGGACTGAAAGAAAAATTTTCATGGGTAGGCCTTTGACTGGGAAGTTTAATTGTACAGTGTGTCACTTTGATGTTCGCAATAATAAAGCTATTTTCCTGGTCCCAATGGCTTTGTTGTAGCGAGAGTTCACTGTATAATCACTGCTTAATCAGTGAATAGATTTATTGATTTCTAGTGGGAAATCTATTATGCAGAAAGGATATTTTCCGAGTACGATATTGTTATACTTTACTAACCAAAATTATTGTACCAGGCATTTAAAAAGTAATTTGAGCGACGGGTGTAAAGCTACTGTACAGTACATGCCAATCCTTTTCAGATTTCTTTCATTGTTTTTCTTTAATGAATGGAAATTGAAAACATAAAACCGTACCAAGAATGAAAGCGAGAAAATCGTATAACTGGAAACGATGCTCAACATAATCAAACTTATGAGAAAGCTATCTTTAATATAAAATTTTTTATGAGATCTTTATTTTTAAAAAAATTTCTTTGAACCTTAAAAAATTATGCTGGGGCCCCCATTCCAAGCTTCCTCTATTTTTGGAAAGGTAAGTAATTTTTCAATGCAGCATTAGACGACAAAAAATTAGCAGGAATCCGATTTGTAGGAAAAATTCATCATTCACGGCGTCCATTATTCGGATATAATTGTAATGTTCCCTTAGAAAACCCAGTCAAGCTTCTCAGGTAATTTTTTTTCAAGCTGATGTTCTTTCTATTTTGTTGGAAGCTTTAAGGAAATGATCCCGTTTTTTTCGACTGGTTCTTTCTCGACTGGAATTGCTAATGACAAACGGCTTCTTGAATCTTCGTTGCTTGATTTAAAAGTCTCATTTAATAACTGGAAAAATAATTTTGGTTCAGTGCGAATTTCACGTGCTGTATATGTATTACTGTACTTGAAACGTGGCATCGGACTTGGAATTATGTTTTCAGTACATCACCCCGGACGTGTGGTGGTACTACATGATCGAGTTGTCGTTCTATTGGGCGTTGATGGTGTCCCAGTTCACGGATGTGAAGCGCCGTGATTTTGCGCAAATGTTCGTGCACCACTNAAATGTTCGTGCACCACTGTGCCACGATTATGCTCATGTCCTTCTCGTGGGCGTGCAATTTGACGCGGGTCGGCACACTCGTCCTCATTGTTCACGATGTCGCCGACATCTTTCTCGAGGTGATTTAGAAACTACATTTGGCTCTGAGTACCGCTTTTGTTGTTGTTGGTGGTAATTGATTGTTCAGTTTTTCACAAAATCCTGTGTGAGACATGTTGAAGAAACCGCGTGTAAACGAAATACAAATTGATTGTAAAATGCCTTGAAGACAATTCAACGCTTGATGAATGAGGCAATTTAAAGTTCAGAGGAATATAAATCATGTCCCGAGTAAAATAGGAGAAAAGGCATTTTTATATTTAGGAAATCTAGGAAAATGACTGAATAATTTTATTATTAACGCATTTGATTTTGGGAAGGTACAGAAAAAGAAATGACTCTCCTGAGCGAATTCTTGGTCGTAACGAAAATGTACAGTATTCTGATTTTCCGAGTCTCCTAATTTCGTTTGCTTATTACAGTATTTGAATTGGATTCATTAAATAGCTATTCATATGCAGTTTTTGTTTTGTTTTGTTTTTCGGTGTACACGAACCTCGAGTGCGTGAAAGCTGAACTAGTTTCTTATGGATATTTTATTGTATTCATATTTTATTTATTTGTTTTTTCCCAAATCATCAGAGTGCTAAGATGGCGAAATACGCCGGAAAATTGAACCTGTGCAACATCCTCTTCGCTGTGTTCACAATTGTTTGGATCATTTCTCGGCTCGGAATCTTTCCTTTCAAGATCATCTAC